GCTTCAATCTAGTGGTGCCATTTACCATGTCTTTGCAATCAGTTTTGAATCCACTACATAACAAGATAAGTTTCGAGTTTTATTTTTGTAGGAAACAAAATACCAAGGAAAGGAAATTCCATCAAGAAATCGTTAAAGTAATGCAAGCAAAGGAATGCATTTACATATCATGACTATGAAAAGGATTTTACTTCATATTTTTGAAGAAAAGGAGAAGGAAAAGGACATGTTTTTAAGAGAAAATGGTTAGACACCTTCAAAAGGAAAAGGAAATGAAAATGGCATTATTGTGTGGAAGGAATTGATCAACCTTTTGTGAGGAAAAGGAAAAAGGTTCTTTTCGAAGGGAAGAATAAAGAATGTCATTTATATTGTTCTTTTCGAAAGGAAAGGATGAGAAAAAGGGAAGGTGTCTTGTGCTTTTCACAAATTGCATATTTTAAAAGAGGACCGATCATATACACAATTAGCAGGGGTGCGTCCGAGGAGGAAAATGAATTTCAAAAGGCAATAAAATGATTTTTAAAATGCATCATTTGCATTACATGTATAATGAGCACTACATGCATCACATGATTACACTTATTGGGTATCGCTCACCTTTGTTTCTTGTGATGAAGGTGATAAAAAGATTAGAAGATGACTCGTCATTGAGGGGAGGATCGACTTGTCGTATCTTGTGCTTAAAAATATAAAATGACCGAGGGAAACTTACCTTTACTCTTAGTAGGTTTTGGATATGTAAATAATGGTTTGAATGCTTAAAGTATTACATGATATGTGAGAGTTTAATTTTGTCCAATTTGGTAGCTAATGGCATTAATTGATTATTTGACTTGCTAAATTGGACTAAATCAATTAATAGATTAAGTAAAGAAATCAATTTGAGGTTAATTAGAATCATGCATTAAGTGGATAAATTGACTTAGTAGTTAATGAATAAATGGTAAGAAGTGTGGAACTAAAATGGTTAAGAAAGAATGGTTTTAATGGTTAAAGGATTAAATAGAATTTTAAGGATTAAAAGAATTTAATTGATTAGTTTTAATTAATTGAAACCAAAACTCCATAAGCCCAAAAAATCATTTATATGGTCCATTCTCTAATTAAAGGTCTCATTGAATTTATTTAATGTTCAATTGAATTAATAAATTGAATTTCTAGCCTCGGGAATTTTTATTAAAGTTATAGTATTGATTTAAGTTTTAATGGCTTAATATATAATGAATATTCTCTAATTAAATTGATTATATTATAATTAAATGGATTTTTGAAAGAAATAATGGAAATTGATTCTATTGAATTAATTGGATTTTTTATGTTGACTATTATTTATTTTTAATTAAATCTGAATTTTTAAAAGGAATTTGAGAAAAATTAAAGACATTGTTCATTTTAGTTTAATCTAAGGTATTTTATTTAAATGATTAAATTGGATTCCAAGAATATGAGTTTTTGACCTAATTTTGACATTTAATATTTCTACATATGTAGTAGGAATATTAATTGGTGTTAGAGAAGTTTTTGAAAATTTTTATACCTAAGTTTTAACTAATTTAGACCTATTATTTTCTTAATTATTAGGGACCCTTTCCAAAAATCTTTATTTTGCAAGTAATTTTGTAAGGCTAAAGAAGGAGGCTTGTTGGCTTACATTCATTACACTTGGAATGTAAGTCAATGAATGCAAACCAACGTTGGTAATACTATCGACCTATCTACGTCCTAGGTCGAGGGTATTATAATTTAGAACTTGTTTAGCTTGGTTATAAGCTAAGATGAATTTTGGCAACCTTGTTTGTATGGGATTAGGGTTTCGACCACGATCAATAAATTAAGGTTGTTATTTTTTTTGGTTGATTTTTTGTTTGTGCATTGTTATGGGTTGATTTGTGGATATTTGAACATGATTTAGTGTTGAATTGCTTCTTGTTGATTTTTTCTTATAGTTGTCTTATGCTTGTGTGCTTCGGCCATCACTTGTCTTCACAAAATCCATGTCATTAACTATCTTATGTAAGGCACCTTTCAATGGAGCTCTTCAATTATTTTTGTGTCTTTGGTAGAGGTATGGATAGCATGGCCTTTCCTTTGGTTGGATCAACATCAATCTCTTTTTTGATTGACAAAAAAAATGAGAAACGGATAGAAAAGCGACAAGCTCGTATTTGAAAAAAAGATAAAAGAGTTTGGGGGACTATTGTTAAAAAAGAAAAAGTTAAAGAAGAAAAATACTTACTTGTCAACTGAATCGTCTTGTTTCTTCTCATAATTATCCATAAAGGTTGGAAAGTTGAATGTATGTTGCCTATGAAGTCTTGTTTTGCTAGCTCCTTCAAATAATTTGACATAGAGGATCTCCAAAATCCACACTAGTATCAAGCAAATTTCTTCTTTTAAATAGAGAATGCTTCAAGAGGATTAAGACGTCCTTCGAGGTTGGGGTGATTTCTATCAAGCAACCATAAATAGGTGTTCCAATGAAAAAATATATTTTTCCACATAAGCTTGTTTGTGTCAAAATTGATGTTTAGGTGTCTGTTTAGAAGAACAACATCTAAAACTCCAAGAATTTTAAATTGGTCAATATATGTGCTTATTTTGAGTATCTTGTCTATCAATTCTCACCATTTAAAGAATACTAGTCTTTTTTTTTTTTTAATCATTATTCTCTCCATTAGAAAGAGTGGAAGAAGATAGGAAAATGTGATTTCCCTCTATCAAAATCATAGACAAGAATTTGGTGTGATGGGACCATTACTAAGGCTCATCTTGTATTCCCCACAAATGAACCTCCTTGCTTATGGATTGATTTTCAACTAATCAGTTTTCACCCAAGTCTTAGCTTCTTTTGAAAATCCATCTATAAGGATGGTTGGGTCCTTCCATTTATTACAAGGAAGTACAATTACATCCACTTCATTACCTTTACATAATTTATTGACCATCGAAGTGGTTCTCTCGGTAATATTTTGATGTTCTGTCTTGTAGTCTAAAAGTACAAATAAAAAAAAAGGTGATAGGCATGGCAAAAGATTGGTAAGTGACCAAGCATCCGACATGGCACATGAAGACTAACTTTCAAGCAAGTTCTTCACTTATACTAAGCCAATTTTTTTTGACAAAGAAGCTGGTCGGTGATAGGGTGCTTAACATGTCATTTGCGGGCTACTTGCTTACCAAGCAAGTTCCCTACTTATATTTAAGTAAAAATTTTGAGCAAACCTAATTATCACAAGAAGTGATACCATGGCTTGACTTGACAAGTCAATACGGTTAGCCAAACATTTTTTTTTATAAAAAAAATTGACATGGCTAATTAATGACCAAAATGAGGTGACAAGAAAAAATCAGTACGGTATATCGGGGATTAAAGTAGAGTGGTAGGTTCAAATCGAAGGGGCTAGTCAAAAACCAAACTAGAGTAGCAACGACAAATTGTTGTGATTGGTGAGAGACCAAAATAAAACAGTAAAACCGAATTAGTATGGTTGGTTGAAGGGAAAAAAAAAAAAAAGCAGCAAGACCAAATTATTGGTAAGGTTATGCAAGTATGGAAGGAAAAAAAAAACACAAAAAAAAAAGGAAGAAAAAAGAACAAGTTTGCCTGAAAAATATCCAATTCTGTTCGTTGTCTGCACGACCAGCATTCGATGAATGCTTGCTGCATAGCCAGCAACTATGCTAATTTGCGCTACCAACAGCCGCTGGCCAAAACCAATAATGTGAAACTAACATTAGGAATAAAAAAAGAAGGTCTACCTCTACTTTTTTTGCGTGTTGGAGACAAAGGCATGGCGCTGCGTTAGAGATCTTGAGGTAGGAACTCTTGGTTGTTTGTTCAAGCAAGTGATTTATGAGTCAAAAGTTTCGTTTGAGAGCAAAAAATAAGGTTTCTAAATTTTGTTGACCCTAGTCAATACAGTAGAGGAATGGTTCATTAACTCAATCTGGATATTTTGTTGAGAAAATTGCAATTTTAGTGCCCAAATTTTATATTTTCTTTAGTGTCTAATCCATAAATTTTTTTTATTCTAATACTCAAGTTTTGTCTTCTTTTTTTTTTTTTTGAATATCTATAATTACATGAGAGTATAAAATATTGATATTCTCATATGACAATTAAAAAATATCCCAAAAAAAAATCATTTTAACAGCATATATTATCAAGCATTTTTTATATATGTATAATTATAACAATCACACCTACAATTACAATTACAATAAAAAACAAATCTAAAAGACAACATTTTTAAACGGACTCTTGTTTCGTTTATGCAGGAATGTGATGCAATTTCTTATTTTAAAAAGAGACTTTAATATGGTGCGAGTTCAATAAAAGAGATCTTTTTTTTTTCCTGGTAGTTTGAATTAAAGAAGAACTAGATCGCCCACTTTTTTTTTTTTTTTTTAAATTGCAAATGTGCTAGTCAATTACAGTACCACCTCATCAAATGCAATGAAAAAAGATATGGTCCAAAGGGAAATTATCTTGAAGATTTTGAATATTAATGTTTATATAAATTTCAAGAAGTTCACATGATAGTTATTTGAAAAAGAAAATTATTTTCGATTGATAAGAAAATTAGTCCAAAAATACTTTTTTTGTCAAATAAAAAAAAAGCAATGCTTATATAACTGTTTTAATTATGATAAAAAATTATTCAAGTAAAAGCAATGTCAATTAGGCTCTAATTAAAATACAAAATACTCCTGTTATATTATATTTATTATTTAAGAAAATAATCCAATATGGAGTCTCTCATTTATAAAAAAGAAAAAGATGGAGTTTCTCAGTATAAAAAAAAAAAAAAAAAAAAAATACAGAGACAGTAAACCCAAAGAATTGAACTTAAATTTATTACAGCAACTGTTGAGCTCCTTCAGTGCCCAAAACAAACAACAAGGCGAAAGAAACTCAAACTGTCTGTCTCTGCCTCTGTATTGACCCAAAAATCTAGCCAAAATAGCTACTACAATAAGTTAATCTGCAGTCAATTATGGCGAACAGAAAGATCTTAATCTTCTCCTTTCTAGCAGTAGCTATACTTGTCCTTTCAACTCTTGTTCAATCCTCAAACGCTTCTTCACATGATCGTGTTTTATTAGCAAGACAGAGAAACGCAGCCCGTAGTCAGATCCCGAATTGCAGTAAGATGGTATCAAGATCTCAGTGCAGCCAGAACCCAAAGTGCAAGTGGTGTAAGAGTGAGGTTCTTGATGATATGTGTTTTAGTAAAGCCGAGGCTTGGAGGTTACCTCAACAGGTCTTTCTTTGCGATTGACTCATTCATTTTCTTCTTATTGTTGTTGTTGTATGGTTGATAACTAATATGGGTTTTTTTTTTTTTGGTATTTCCTCCGTGTTGTCTGTATTATTATTAGTTTTTGATCTTCTTCTTGTTGATTTGTTAGCATTGTAATAGTGAACATATGGGAATTCAGAGGAGCTTCTAGTTTTTGTTTTTATCTTTGTTTCATGATTTATTGCAGTTTTTTAAGTGAATATTGTGGATTTTTTGGTAACTAATTTATTCTATTTTTGTTCTACTCCTTGAATTTTAGTTACACCACTATTTTCTTCTTCGTTTGGTTGCTTATGCTAAAAATATCTAGGAAAACGAAGCAATTAATTATTGGGTTTTGAAGTTTAGGAATGATGTAGCAGTTTGATTTCTTTATGTTTAAGGAGGGCGGCTTCGGTTTGTCCTCTTTTTCACATCTTTATGAACCTACTAGACTCTGTCTAAATTGATTAGCTTTTTCAAACTCCTTTAAAATGTTCCACAAAGCCATGCAAACATCAGATTGCTCAACAGAATAACTGATGAAGGAGTTTATTCTTAAGTTTGATTAGCAATTCTACCATGATATTTGTTTTTCTCTCTGTTGTATACTGGGAAGGCAAGTGGGTTTATGGTCGAGGACAGAATTTGTTTAGTAACTTTATGTTTGAAGTCCAAGTTTAGAGCATTAGGTTTTCAAATAGGCATTGACATTGTCGAATTTGTTTTTGGTTATCTGGAGCTAGACTTGAGGTTTGAGTCTTACGTTAGGTTTTGGATTCAGTGTCAATATTTCATTTCCTTGGTGTGTCGGGGAAGTATCGGTGTGTTACGATAAAAGCTCATTCATAGATCATTTTAATGTCTGACATATCGATCTGTCTGTTCTGTGTGATTTAGATGAAACTTGCTGCACGCACCAGTTATTTCTTATTTCCGTCAATTTAAGGTTGAAGGATACTTTTGAGGATTAGGGTGGTGGTGTAACCTGGTAGAGAAGAAATAAAAAGCCGGTACACTTTGAATATGATGAGCAGTCTTCTTTTGAATAGGAATGGAGCTTTGCAGCCGTTGCAAGATCAGTGATTTTGTTGCTAATGGAACGTAGAAGGAAATATTTGCAATCTTGTTCCATATGTACGCTGTTGGATAGACAGCTTTGCTTGAAAAACCTAGCTTTGAAGAAGTTCTTTAGGGAATTGGCTCATCTTAAGTGATCGGAACTTTAATTGCATTGCTAGAGTCGGGATTACAGATTCAAGAAGTTTTTAACAAATCAGAATCATACAGTTGGCATCTAAGTAGTAAGTTTAAGGTTTATATAACCAGTTTTGGCAAGAGAACTATGAATTAACTTTCCAAGGGTCACAGTGATTGGCTGGTAAAGCCATGGAACGTCAAAGTCCATGGAACTATGCCATAGTATTGCAGGTTGCATGGAGAAACTGAATCTGGTCAAGAAAAGTCTTTTGAGTTTCTTGTCTTCTTCTTCTCTCGGTTTGAAAATGGTCTTTCTGGTTATGCAGTGGCTATTAAGCAGGAATTGATTCTCGATTTGAACTTTTTCTGCATAAAAAAACGAATTAGTTTCTTTTGAATGAATTACTTTTAATAGCTTTAGGATGACTTTCTGTATCCAGTGTGCTTTTATGTTTCAAATTTTGGCAAACAATTGTGATCTTGAGCAAGTACCGTTATTTAAGATGACTGAATTATATAATTTGTTTTCAAGTGTATCTTCTTATTAGAATGTCTAGTCACTGTGATCAAGAAGCAAAGTTGCTTCAGGACAATCCTGATCAAGGTGCCTCTGCTGAACAACAGAGTTCTAGCAAGCCTCGACCATGCAGTTTATTTACGAGCTCTCATGGTGAAAAAGTGAGATGCATAGCAAAGAATGTAAGTGATGGTTGTGTGCCCTATCAAATTTTTATTGCTGCTACTCTATTATTCAGTTCACATAACCAAAATGAGATGAAATTGTTCTGGGCAGAGCTGTTTGTTGAGCGGCAAAACTCATCACATGATTGCCTGGGGCTTTGCTTTTGATTTGCAAAACAGAACCTAGTCATTTACATTTGATTTTGAGGTACACTTGGCTCCCTCTCTATCTATTTAACCTCTCTATACTACCAAAGAAATGAAAACTCCAATTACATGTGCTGCGGATACGGTATGAGATTGAAGTTGTAAATTGCTACCTTGTTGATGTAGGGAGGAAAATTGCAGGTTAGGGTAGGCATTCGGTGCTGGAATCTATGACTGGTTAGGCTTAGACACTGGCATTGTCTCATGGGTTGAAATTTGCTGGTCACTTTGGTTTCAGTGAAGTAGAGCCAGATCCAATAGATTAGCAAAATTCCCAAATCATATGGAGAGTAACATAATTGGCACACCTTTTGGGAAGTTGTGCTGTATCCTCTTTGGAATAAAGCAAGTGAGTTGTGGTGCAGGGTGCAGATAGGTTTGGAAATCCAAAGTCTTGTAGATTGTTGTATTGTATAAGCCCCAGTAGGCAGTAGCAACTTCTTAGAAACCAATTTGTCACAAACTTAACATGGAAAAGGAACCGTTCTGGAACATATTCTTTGAAGACCAACCACTTGCCTTTGCTTTTCTCTTCTTCAATGGCACAAGAAAATGGCTGTTGCTCAAGCATGAGACAGCTCTTCTGCCACTACTATGCCTCCAAACAACCTCCAGACCTATCCACCAGCCAACATCACCATCCCTAAACCCCCTCCTTGATACAAAACTCAACGCAGGTCATCCTTCCTTCTAGTGTGCAGAACTCACAGTCATGCACTTACGGAGTTTCACACGGCTTGCATTCTTTCCCTCAAACAATTGAGGGATAAACACAATTTTAACAAGGCAGGATATGGTTAGATAAGCAGAAACTCCAACAGAAAAATCGAGATTCTGAAGCTGTTATAACGACCTTTTGAAATGAAATATTTGAAGATGAAGAACTGAATTAATAGAGAATTAACACTATTAGTAATTAAGGTACCGGGTTTCTTTTATCATTTGGGATTGAACAATTTTATGTTCAACGCAACTAATTTCATGAAAAGAAACCTGTAACAGAGAAAAACAACAACAAAGCAAATTTGAGGAAACAAATTAGACTTGCACTCGAACCTCAGTGTGTCCTTCACCACCAACATACTCCTTCACCGCATCCCTCATATCCTCGAAACAATGAGACCTCTCAAAGAAAGTAGCCAACTTCTCCAACTCTAAATCACCAAGATCATTAATAAAGGGCTTCACTGGAATCGCATTTCCGGGCTGATAAATGTAGCAGTTAGGATTGTCATCAACAATCACCACCCTCTTCAAGTCCCTCCCCATTTCAGACAAGTCCTTAACAAACTTCCCATCAACTTCCTTGCAAGAATCCCGATAGAACCGGTGTGAAATCAGCCCCTTTGGATCAATCCTATCAAGAACCAGCGTAGCGTATTCCTTTAACCCGGCGGTGAACACCACCACCTCGTATTTAGCCCCTAAAGCCTCCAGGAAAGCATCAACTCCTGGGCGCTTCAGCACGTAAAAATTCATCGTTTCTCCATCAATCTTAGGCCTCACAACAAAATCAAACTTTTCGGGTGGTGGGTCTGCTTTAGAATGCACCAAGGTCTCATCAAGATCAAGAAAGACAGTCCTCTTATCAGGAGAAATCAAGGGTGGTAACCGTTCATTGAAGAAAAGTGCTCTACAAATGGTATCCTTTTCAACTTCTAGGTCATGATATTCGGACCCAGTTTTCAAGATTTTGTAGCCTTTGCAACGGCTATTTGGGGTGCTAATGCGGACCAATTTGGAAAAAAGCTTAGAGAGGCGGCGCTTGCAAGTGAAGATAGTTTTGTTGATGGTTGAGATGATAGCAGAGGAGGTGGTTTTCCCCGGAGACTTCTTCCTGTGGCGACGGCGGGGGCGGTGGCTCCCCGAATCCTTGATGGATTTTGTGGGGCTTCTTTTGAGGGACTTGGACACCATTTTTAGTTTATTTTTTTCAAAAATAGAGAGGGTTGTGTAATATTATTTCGAGAGAGAGAACAGTTTGCCTTTTCTGGGAGAGAGACGAGGAGGATGTGGAGAGTTTTTGAATTCTGGTTCGGTGTAACGTTAATGTAGTCTGGCTCGGAGCCGAAGCTAATGTACATCAGTTTTTTCACGTGGATAGATTTAGGTGGTTTTTAAGGAAGGAGATTTATTTAATTTGGTTGTTAATTAATAATTCAGTGTTGGATTTCGGGTTAAAATTTGAGGCGAGAGAGGAAAGAACCGTTGGTAGCAAGCAGGAAGAGAATGCCGACAGCAAAGTTGTCCCTGGCCCATGCTGGCCTTTCTTATTTATTTATTTATTTTCCTTTTTTTTTTCTTTCCCCTCCTCTATTATTGCCTTTCTCAATCAAAAAAATATCAGAACGAAGAAGACCAAATTTCTTCCTCTTCATCAGCCGAAAAAATCCTCAATTTTCATAGTTTCCGAACAAGAAGGTGCAATTCATTAGGATTAAAGTTTCCAAGGGACAAAAACGCAACTAGGGCAAACGAAATCATTTATTATAAGTTGTATGTGTGAGTCGGATTGTTTCCTGGCTCACGCAACAAATCTGAAAGGATTGTGGTTATGTGCAAAACTTGCATTATGAAACAAGAGCTTCCATCCCCAACCCACCTAAATTTCAACGCAAATCATTGCAGGGATAAGAAATGTTTTGCAAAGCAGGATCTTTTCTTCATAAATGCATGTCCCATATGCTGATCCAATCACAAAGACAAGTGGAAAGTAAAGTACAGAAATTAAAACCATCATAAGTTTATTCAGAAACCAAAGGTTGTTCCAGAAAGATGAACTGATACATGTTGAAACGAATAAAATATAGAATCAGTTAGCTAAATTACTAGACTAAGGAAGAAGCCCCCAATTACATTCCACAAACTCTTAAAACAGCAAAGCTATCTAATTGAAGACTCCAAACCACCAACAAAGTTAAGCGATAAAGCCAAAGGACAGACCTAAAATTAACTAAGCCATAAAGCAAATACATCATCTCATCAACCTTGTGAAAATATTTTGATGACAGAGCAATCTGCACCTTCAATTTTCTTAGAGGTTCTCTGTCATGTTCTTGATCATTCTTGGGACCCTCTCGTTCAAAATAGAGAAAATCCTTCTAAAAATATCTGAATGGAGAAGACCAATCTCAATACCTTTTTTTTTTTTTTTTTTTCACGATCTCTTTTCTTTCCTCTTTAACGTTTGTGTGTTATTTTAATTATTTTTATTTGTATTGTTCTTATGTGTTTAGATATGAATAATAATAGATCTTGTATCTATAAAAAAATGCACAACTCAAATTTTGTATAATGTTTATAGAATTTTAATTTTTTTTTTCAATTTGGTATCAACGTTATTTTTTTTTATTGATTGAAATTGAATTTAAAAAATTTCTATCTTTAAAACTAAAATAAAAAATAATATAAAATTTTAAAAATACATAATACATTTTATTTTCTCGATGTATATTGAATTTAGAATTTAAATTCTTAATTGCTGTCAATTTTTGAAAGAAATACTATTATATCGCTTTAATTCTTAATTTTATTAAGAAAAAAAAAAGCTTAACTCAAAAGTAGTAAATATTCAAATATTATATATTTCAATTTCTTAGTCTAATCATAAACTTCTGAACAGCGTGAAGAACTTTGATATAGGGTTGATCTAGTACAAGAGATTTTCCTTCTTTTTTTTTTAGTATTTTACTTTTACACCTTATTGAAAACATATTATATATGTATCTTAAACTTAGGCTTATGATACAAGTTTTCAATTGGTCTAAGTAAAAATAATTTACAATAAACACATGTTAAGAAATTGTTCAGAGTTTTTAGTTATTTTTTAATCTTATTTTTTCTCTTTTTCAAATTTGGTATCAATATTTTATTTTTTTTCTTTTTTCATTATATGTCGCAAGAGAAATCCAATTTATGTGATAATTTTTTAATAGATAACAAATATTATTGATTAAGATTTAAATATATTGAAACATAATCAACTCATATTCATATGTTTTCAATTATATAACACATTTAGAATTGCATCTAGTTGATTATATATTGATTGATACTGATAATAATGGATATTTTGTTGAGATTAATCCAAAGGACAGACCTAAAATTAACTAAGTCATAAAGCATAAATTTCATCTCATCAACCTTGTGAAAATATTTTGTTGGCAGAACAATCTGAACCTTCAATTTTCTTAGAGGTTCTTTGTCACGTTCTTGATCTTTCTTGGGACCCTCTCCTTCAAAATAGAGAAAATCCTTCTAAAAATATCAGAATGGAGAAGACCAATCTCAATACTTCTTGTTTTTTTTTTTTTTTTATCCTTCATGATCTCTTTTCTTTCCTCTTAACGTGAAACAAATCCGGGATGAATTTGGGCAAGATCATCCGAAACCCACTTCTTGAAGAATACCTTCTTCTCTCACTGCTTCTAATTGCAAGAACACCAATTTCTTCCTTCAATGATAGAAGAAGATGACAAATTAAGGATTTTTTTATGAATTTTGATTCCGAAATTAGGGCATTTTTTTGATAAAGAAGAAGGAGAGAAAGAGAAGTGAAGAGAGAGAACGACAAGTGAGATTTTATTTATTTATTTATTTATTTTTATGGATTTGGAGATAATGGCATGAGGGTGATTTGGTGTTTTTCTATTATTTTGTAATTTTATGTATTAGTTTATTAATTAAAATCAGTTTAAATATTTTTTTTTAATTTCAGACTGAAAAAAACTATTATTTAGGATCTATTATATCATGTGTTATGTCAAATATAATTAATTTTTAATTTGTCATGTCGGATGAATAATTAATGATGTTATAAGAGAAGATTTAAATCAATAAATTTTAAAAAATAAAGAGGTTCAATTAAATTTAAAAAATAAAAAAAGAATCTCAATCAAAAAAATTTGAAGACTACAAAGTTAAAATGTGAAGTAAATCCATTTATTGTTTCTTTCTTAAAAAAGAAAAAGAAAAGAAGAAGCCATAATTGACATATTTAAAAACAACTTACTATTATTATTTTTCACGTGGTTAAAAAATTAAATGTATCTTGAAAGTTTTGTGGTAATAGTCATGAAAATTCGTATGCCAAGACTAAGTTATTTTTTGACCGGGTCTAGAAGCAGACCATTCATGGATTAATATATTCATGAGAATTTTCTTTTTACACGAAGCCGACTCCTAATTTTCTAATTACATGGATATAAGAATCTAGAGACTATAACCAGATATTTCCATAGCTCAATTGCATTAAATTTTTTATTTAGGGAGTATTTTGCATTTTTCTAGTCAACTTGAGACCCCGAAGCACCATGTGGTGTCTTAGGTTGCATTCTTGGCAAGAAAGAAAAGAAGAATTCCCTGAAAGTGGAATAGTCCCGAAAGTATTCAGCTTTGACGAAAAAGATGCATGAAATCTCGGAAGACTTACTGAAGATTACGATGGGAAGTACAGCCGACCGGAGCTGCTTAGGTGGCATTCTTAGCAGTTTGCTTCTAAAAGATCAATTACAGATCCTCTTGAATTTCAGGCTATTTCCATCTAGCTAGTCTAAGCTTGTTTTCTAGATATTTCTTCTTCTCCATTTCCATTTTTCAGCCCTTGGAAGAGTTTGGAATGATCCTAACCTTAACTTGACCCGTTTCAACAACTATATGTTGAGAATTAGGAGGTTCAATTTAATGAACAAACTAACACTTTATCTGATTAACTAGTCGTACGTATGCCCCCACATTCATACAATATAGTCTTTTGATTATATATTCGTATATAATTAATTATTTTGTGATTTGATTATATTATTATAATCTCGTTTATGTGTTATTTTAATTATGCTTATTTGTATTGTTCTTATTGTGTTCAGATATGAATAATAATAGATCTTATATCCATAAAAAATGCATAACTCAAAATTTGTAATGCTTATCGATTTTTTTTTTCCAATTTGGTATCAATGTTAATTTTTTTAATTGATTGAAATTGAATTAAAAAAATTTCTATCTTTAAAACTAAAATAAAAAGTACTATAAAATTTTAAAAATACATAATCCATTTTATTTTCTCGATGTATATTGAATTTAAATTCTTAATTGCTATCCATTTTTGAAAGAAACTATTGTATCACTTTAATTTCTTAATTTTATTAAAGAAAAAAAAGCTTAATTGAAAGTAGTAAAGATTCAAATATTATATAATACAACTTCTTATGCTAATCATAAACTTTTGAACAACTTGAATAACTTTGATATAGGGTTGATCTAGTACAAGAAAAGGTTTTTTTCTTTATTAGTATTTTACTTTTACACTTTATAACATTGTTCAAAGTTTTTAATTAGTTATTTTTTTATTTTATCTCTTTTTCAAATTTGGTATCAATATTTTATTTTATTTTTCTTTTTTTGTTATATGTGGCAAGAGAAATCCAATTTATGTGTTAATTTTTTAATAAATAACAAATATTATTCATTAAGATTTAAATGTATTGAAACATAATCAACTCATATTCATATGTTTTCAATCATATAACACATTTAGAATTGCATCTATTTTATTATATATTAATTGATATTAATAATAATGGATATTTTTTTCCATCGCTAAAACATCATTTGATTAAACTAGAAAATCTTGAGAAAATGAAACGACGTTTTATTAAAGATTTAACGATGGAATCTACTTTTCGTTTCTAATTATCGATGGATTTAGCAATGGAATTTACCTTTCGTTGCTAATGTGTAGCTATCCCTTATTTATGAAAAGATTTGAAAAAAAAAATGATAGAATTAGCGATAAAAAAAAAATCCATCGTCGAATAGACATGATATTGCAATGGAATTGTGTTTTTCGTCGCTAAATTATAATTTCGTTATTTTTCTATAAACATCAAAAAATGAAACGATCCATTCATCAAAAAAAT